AACAGGCATTGAGAAGCTTAGGTATATCCATTAGCTGTGCAAACATTGCATTCTGCTGTTGACATACAGATAAAGAATGGAATTCCCACAGAATTGTAAGGCTGCGCTTATTTACACAAAGTAACAGTCTCTGAAGGAATATGAAAACAGCATGGGATTTCTGCAAGATGGTTTTGTAAGCGCTAAGCTTGCTATAAGCAAGGTACTCCATTCACATGTGTTACGATAGAAGGAGATTTAGGGAAGGCGGGCATGGGATGAAACTGTGAAATAAGCTGAAATTCTCTCAACAGAGAAGTGGAGTGGAATTAAGAAGCGAGATAGAAACAAAGGGAGACAGTACTACCAGTCTGAAGGCAGAGATGGCGAAGGAGAGCAGGACTTTCGGGAATAGAAAGAACAAGCTTTACTGTGTAAGACGTGGCAAATTGGAAAGAGAGCAGATATTTTCTACTCATGAAAAGACAAGGAAAATGACAGCTCCCCCCTTACTTAGGCCTATTGCTCAGGCTCATTCTTGACAAAGCTTGGGAAAGCCTCAAATGAAATCTCTATTTGAGAAATGAACTAAATTGCTACTCTCAAATCTCATATTACGGAGTCAGCACTATTTTACTGTCTTTATTGTGTGGGAATATACAGAGGAAAAGCACAAATGACCCGTTTATAGAGAAGGAATACCAGGAATCTAATTTGAGGCAATGCAAGTATATTGCTGGATGCTCCTGGAACATAGCACAGAGAAATAAGTTAGGAAGGAGAAAGCAAATATGACCATTATATAATCAATAACTTAAAATCACTAAAAAGACCAAACAGAGACTGAAAGGCTAACTCATAAAACATATACAAAACTGTAAAACTAAGAAAAATTGTCAACAATCAGAAAATGTTTTTTCGTCTGCATGGAATTAAACTGGTTGAATACAACATGGAAGTATGCCTAGAACACTCCAAATAGCACTCACACCTTTGAAAAATGGAACCAGAGCTTACAATACAAAAATAGAAGCATAATAAAGATGATATGGTAAAAAGAAAACATACCACACATGTTAAAAAGTAAAATATACACACATTCAAACATTGGAGAATTTGTTGAAAATTCTTGTCTAATTTTGTTGGGGTTATGCTATTGGAATAAACCTCCAGCCATTAGAAACACAGAACACTAAAATAATTATAACACCAACACAGAAATTTCATTCTTGAGAGAAACAAAACAAGTAGATGAACTACAACATCACCTGGAATTTCTACCCATAGGCAAAATTTCCACACAGGACAAGGAGGGTAACTGAGCCAAGACAGGAACCAGAAATGTTTGCACAAGTTAAGGTAACAAAAACTGGTAGTGAAGAACAATGCCCAGAGAAAAAGCTTCGGATATGTGCAAAAGGGTAACCTTAACTTTAAAGATATAAGTTACTCCTGGGTAAACGTAGATTCCTCAAGTCTACACAAAGCCAGGAATATATTTGCAAGAAAGCTACTAATAAAACAACTATCAGAGCTATAATCTACAACTGAGACATTTCAGTTCTGACTTGCTACATTTAGAGACCCTCATGGAAGACCCCCAGTATTCCCTAGAGACCACTGAAAGGCATGAATCAGTGAAATGGCTAATTTACACCTCCAGAAGAAGTGTACAACAAGACCCACAAGCATCAAAATGATCAGCTCATGACTTGCCCATGTCAGAAGAATTATCTAACATTATATTTTGACTAATAAACTTTATATTTAGGAAACACATTGGTTCATAGAAGTCATTCTGAAGGATAATTCCACTTTCTTTTTTTGTTTGTTTTGTCAGTCGTGGGGCTTGAACTCTGGGCCTAGGTACTGTCCCTCAGTGCTGAGGAATCAAACCCAGGGCCTCATGCATGCAAGGCCAGCACTCTACCACTGAGCCACCTTCCCAGCCTTTGTGCTCTGTGTGTGTGTGTGTGTGTGTGTGTGTGTGTGTGTGTGTGTGTGTGTGTGTGTGTGTGTGTGTGTGTGTTCTTTTGGTTACATGTTGAATATGACATTTCTCACAGCATTCATGAGGAAAGTTATATTCCCTGCTGGTGGTAATGTTTGGGGCATTCTGGGAAGCTTGCCACTTAGGACCTAGCTACAGGAAGTAAGTCACTGAGGAGATGTTCTTGCACACTACATCTAGTCTCAGACACTAGTCTCCTCTCATGGCTCTAGTCTATCTTTACTCTGTTCCCTGTGTCCACTAGGGAAGCTGTTGTACAATGCCCTCTCCACCATATTGGACCAAACTGGTGAGCAAAATAAATTCTTCCTTAAGTTGTTCTGTCAGGTATTTTGTCTCAGTGATTAGAACAGCAACTAATATATTCTTTATAAAACTCTCTGCCCCCAACACTCCCACTTTTCCTCATTAGTAACATTTTGCATTAGTGTGACACATTTCTTAAACTGATGAATGGATTTTAGTCATCAGCGTTTTCATTAGAGTTCAATTTCATCTTTTATGTGCTGTGAGGGTTATAGAAACGTATATTCACACATATCCAGATTAATAGTATCGTATAGGACGGATTCACAATCTGCAAAGCGTGTGTATTTCCATCTTCATGACCCTTGAATGTCATTGAGCTCTCTGCTGCCTTTACAACCTTCTCTCTTCTTTTGTTTTTTATCTTTCCTTCAGTTGGATTATGTCCATTTTAGAGAGGGGTAATTGCTACACCTTCATAAATATTAACGTTGTATTCTAATCAGCTTCGCCCCAACTATCACACTCCTTCCATGCTTCCCTCTGAGAAAGTGTCCCCAATAGGTTCTCTTGTTCTGTTATAGATATGAATAGATTTTTTTTTTGTCAGTCATGGGGCTTGAACTCAGGGCCAAAGCACCATCCCTGAACTTTTCTTCTCAAGGCTAGCACTTTATCACTATAAGCCATAGCTCCACTTCCAGTTTTTAGGTGGTTAATTGGAGATAAGAGTCTTACAGACTTTCTTGCCTGGGCTGGCTTCGAACTGCAATCCTCAGATCTCGGCCTCCTGAGTAGCTAGGATCACAGGCATGAGCCACCAGTGCCCATTTGAATAGATTATTTTGACAAGCCTTTTCCTTACACTCTTTTTTTATTAATAAGTGTTTTTTATTGTGAAAATACCATACAGAGGGGTTACAGTTACATGAGCAAGGTAATGAGTACATTTCTTATCAAGCATTGTTGCCTCCTCCTTTGTTTCCCTTTCCCATCCTGTCTCTCCCATCTCCCCCTCACCCACCAAAGTTGTAAAGTTTGCTTTTCAACATAACATCTTATACATCTCATTGTTGCAACGGGTCCACTTGTATCCTTATTTAAACAATTTGTTTTCTCCCTTCCCCTCCCCAAATTATACCAACATCAAATACAGTGAACACTGTCACCTAACTCTGACTTTGGGGTAACTCAAACTAAGATAAATGTATGTGTTACAAAAATATTGTGAGAAGACAAACCAGACAAAATAGTAAAGTTCTGAATGAAAATAAGCTAGGATGATAATTTGGAGTAAAAGATGGTTAGTATGTTGATTCTCATTTTCTCATTACATTAGCTTCTCTATATGTTGAATGTAACTCAAGTGTTAATAAAGCAATAGGATAGTTTTAGTAGATATCTTTATAGGATGACCCATAATTTGAAAAAGTCAAACTGGAAAAAAAATTAGCCATATTCAGATCTAGTCACACACATTTGTAGATTTTTTAAAAGCCATTAGAAAAAATGGTTCCTATCTTGGTTAAATTAACAAATTAAGTTTTTAAAATCAAAAGCAAGACTGGGATAACTTTCTTATGTTTCCCATGCCAATATTCTTTCCACTGTATAGTCATGCTTCATCCTCACAGTTAAACAGAATTGCATGTAAACAGCTTGACCAGATTTTGAAAACAGGATATAAATTCCATTACAGATTTGACCCCTTTCCCCATACATCTTATGAATCACATTAAAACTGGTAGCTGCTCAAAAGTGTCAGAATTCATGTGATATGAATACCACATGTGAAAACTAACCAAAGAGAAACTAAAGAGAAATGCTCTCTGAAAATTACGATGGAAGACTCCCAAATCACTGCCCACCTCATTTTGGGGGGTGGGCACTAATATGATATTCTTAAATAATATTTGCATGATTGTTTATGCATCAAAATGGGAGGGGGAGATCTAATTCAAGTATCACTCTATAGGAAAGAGTCATTCTCTTCTGGACACATCAGAAGGTAATTCACTGATCAAAGAATGAGACAAGTATGCATGCATGATGGATCAAAATTGAGCACCAAGGACATGCTACCTTAAAATGTATCGCTTTTATGCCCTTCGAGCAAAGAGCACTTCTCCAGTGTTTCTTTCTATCGACTCCACCGGATTAATAAAAGCAACCTCAGTATTTGACAGTATCTGATTAACCAGTAGGCTCGGTGCCCATATATCCCCATATATCAGGCTACTCATGATATGGCATCTATATCAGGCCCTGTTCTCCTAAGCATTTGTTTCAGCCTTTGCTTTTGTTGTCAGAAATATGAAAGCTGGATGCCTCTAAAAGATGATGATATTTCTGATTTCTTTCTTTTCCTTCACCCACTCTTGTCTGGAGCCAGTAATGAGGAAAAAGGAATAACCTGTGTCTGTTTCTCAGGTTGTGAACCTAAATGGAAAAGAGTTTTATTCTGAGGGACCTGATTTCCAATGACTGAAACTTGCAAACTTTGTCTATTTTCGTATCAATCTCATTGACCATTCCAGTGCAGCATTCTGAGTTCCATGCCTTAGTTCTGTACTTAGCTTGTGATTCTAGGTCACACTAATTCATATAGGATAGGTTCCCCTATGATTAGTTACCAGAAGAAATATAAAGAATTTCAACACCCATATTGGTTTCTCTAAACTTGTATGTACAATTAAGTTATTCTTAGCCATACTGGTGCTGGAGTGAGTGTTAGGAATTCTGTTACATGCTATGCCAAGTCAACATGCTTTTTGAGGGGTCATATTGCAATATGAACATGCCTGCAGGTCCGTGTCCTTGAAAATACTTCAATAATGAAAAAATACCTACAACAGGGAAGTACATCTCCTTTTTGGTCTATTTACTGCATAACATATAAAATGACAAATTTATTGTCATTTGAAAAGGTACAAGCCAAATACAAATAAAATCTATTGCATGGTCTGTTAAAATGATTTATTATACAAGTGTGCCAGAATGTAAATTAATAAAAATATTTTTAGGTTCTTATGGTATCTATTGTTATTTGTCAACTACTTAAAAATTTTAATTTGTGATGATTTATTTTCTTTACTCCAACTAAATACTGTGATCTGCACCTAACCCAAAGAAGGTTTTGTGAATTATTAAAATATAATGTTCAGATCTCTCCAAACCAGATTTTTCCATGATGTCTAATTATATTTTGAGGAAGAAGTTATTCTATTACAGCTGTAACTTTCAACCATGGATTACTTTCTCCCCATTTTTGATTCTCATAACAAAGGAGTAGAGCATATGTGTGCTACTATATCAAAGTTGTAGAGGCCAGAGATGTTACTAAAGATGAACAGGGAAACGAAAATCTGCACAAAGGATAATCCAGACCAAATATCAGGAGTGTGGAGATAGAAAAACTCTACCTGAGAGGGAGTTGGCATAGAATTACAGATGTGTTCAGACGTGATCTGGGTATAAGGTCATCAATGGATGACTTTAATGCAAATTGATTGATGATGTTTTTAATTTAAGTACTGTGTTAAAATCTGACATCATTTTCTCATAGGAAAATTTGGGAGCATAATAATTCCATTAAAGGAGGTTAAGTATTTTTAAGATACTTATCTTGACATATATTTCCCAACATTTTTTAAAACCTGTCACATTACTTTGTAACCATACTTCATCTAATTAGTCCTAGAATATGTTTTAGTTTCTTTTATAATTGATTATGATTGTGTGTGACATTCTTACAACCTGTTTTAAATACAGAGTACACTCTTCTGGTTTCTGATCTATTCATGTTGGCAAGCTGCCTATTCTACCCATGATGCCATTCTGTACCAAGTCCTCCCAGAAGTCTTTCTACCAGATAACAGTCTGCTTTTTCAGCCTAACATAAGGTTTTATTTAACTTTAAGTAACTTTTTTATTGTCAAGGTGATGTATAGAGGGATTACAGTTACATAAGTAAGGTAATAAGTAACTTTCGTGTCGAACTTGTTACCCCTTCCCTCATTTTTCTCCTACCTTCCCTTCCCTCCCAACCACCCCCCATGCACTCTTTTCCCAACATTCCCCTAAGCTGGACAACATGAAAGAGTTGAATTTTTCAAGACTTCTCTTCATGAACATGGGACTGTGGGCTAAGAAGGTAACACAATAGATAGATTTCAGTAAGGCTTGGGTTTTTGCAGTTCAGACCAACTGCATGCAGTGAGTATAAATTAATACACAGAGGCTTGTGTTACCTTGTGCCTCAGCCAACTTCTACCCTGTGTCATCTACGCTCTTCCTAAATGCAGGTGTCGCTGTCCATAACCAAGTCAAAGTGATTTAAACCAATGAGGATTTTATGAAAGGATATAGGGGCTTGGGAATGTGAATGTCCTGCCAGCTCTTCCATGGTGGCTCATGAGTCTGTAATACTAACTACACTGGAGGCTATAGCAGAAAGAGCTTGTAAATTGAAGGCATACATAATAGAATCACCACAAGATGCTATCTCTAAAACAAAGTCAAAACATAAGGGCTGGGGGCATGACTCAAGTGGCAGTTTGTGAGCCCCTGGGTTAAGTAAGCCTCACAAGCCTACACACGTGCATACTCGCACACGCGCATGCACTTACACACACAGACACACACAGACACACACACACACACACACACACACACACACAGAGGCTGACTTTGCGTCTCCATTTGCCTTATGGGAAGTTTCTCAGAGCCTGGACTTTTAGTGCTAAAAGTAAATTTGAGAATATCAAATAGTTTAGTTCATTGCAGTATTATTCACCATAGCCAAGGTGTGGAATTCCAGATTCCCCTCCAGTGAAGAATGGATTAAGAAAATCTGGTCTCTCTCTATATATATATATATGCAATGTGATTTTACTCACCCATTTAAAAGAAAACATGATTTTGTATCATCTGTAAAGAAATGGAAAGACCTAGAAAAATTATGTTAAGTGAAATAAGTCAGACCAAAACAGCCTAAGGATGCTTGTTTCTTTTTTTTGGGGGGGGGAGGGAAGGCCGGTTGTGGGGCCTGAACTCTGGGCCTGGGCGCTGTCCCTCAGCTCTTCAGCTCAAGGCTAGCACTCTACCACTTGAGCCACAGCGCCACTTCCGGCTTTTTTCTTTTTTGCTTATGTGGTGCTGAGGAATTGAACCCAGGGCCTTAAGCATGCAAGACAAGCACTCTACCACTGAGCCACCTTCCCAGCCCAAGGTGGAAGCTATATTCAGCTTATAAACTTATAAGTAAATATATTGGATGGTATGTAAGGGTATACAAATGTATTATCAGAAGTATGGTTGATTCAACAGAGAAAATATAAATTCTTCAAAGAGCAAAATCAAAGTTCAACAAAAGAAACAGCAGGAGGCAATTATTAAAAGGAATGGAGTAGGTCAAGAGGAAATGGGTAGATGAATGCAGAGAAGAGGGGAGAATGCATTCAAGAATTTAATGTATACCCTACAAAATTAAGAAGAACGAGGGAAAAAGTAGGTAAGGGAAGGATGGGTGAGATTGTTGAATGGGGTGATTTTGTTCAAGATGCGCTGTATTCACAAACTGCTTTGTACAATGACTTAAAGATAATAAAATTATTTTAAAAATCAGGGACAAAGAGATCTCTATACGTACACTTCCAATATACCTGTGCTGATTAACTTGTGTGATAGTTATATACTTAAACATTATCATATTACTAAACCAAAAGTGAGCAATAATTATTGTCATACATTTTTAGACTTTATAAATGAATGTTTGGAATAAAATATGAATAAGCAAGATCACAAAGTAAACACTAAACCACTTTAGTGCAAAGAGGCAGGGATAAGAGTTGAGACTGAGTTTTTAAGCAATTTATTGAAAGCAAATCTTAATCTCACTAAAGAGTTGAGAGTAAGATGCCAGATGGAAGGTTTAGGCCAACATACTCTTGGCATTAATTCTAAGATTACTTACTAGAAAATGTTCTACTTAGTTTTGATGAGATGTTATTTTTCAAATATGATGCCAAAATGAGATTTCTCCTTTTTTCTAGATTTTATTGATGACATGATTATCCTACCCACATTAAAAAATATGGAGGTGGACCTTTATATTCTATCTTCTAGAAGATAGTATATATATGTGTAATATGTATTATATAGAATATAATTTCATTATGGAAAATATTTAAGAAGTAATAACCTATAATATTAAGTTGTGGAAGTGGCGCTGTAGCTCAAGTGGTAGAGCACTAGCCTTGAGCTGAAGAGCTGAGGGACAGCGTTCAGGCCCAGAGTTCAAGCCCCACCACCAACAAAAAACAACAACAAAAAAAAACCAAAATATTAAGTTGCTGATATATGTTTGCTGATTTTAAGTGTAAGTTGACAACTGATAAATTACGTTTTATTTCCATTGGATTTTCCAATATAAAAGCTAATGTAAGTTCCATGACCAGAAAAAACTAAGAACAAAAACAAAATACTCAATGATGTCTCAGGAGCTATGATATATTTTACGGACTCTACTTTGTGCCTGTGTTAACTTCTGTTGACCGATCATGGTCTTTTTCTATCCAGATTTAATGATCTGCTTCCATTTTTACAACTCAAATATTATTATTTTCTGAAGCTAAGCATACAGTCTATTATAATCCAATTTTGGCATTCTTTTTGAAAAGGTGACTGGTTTTTCTGTGTGTCTCTTTTAGCTGTTATGCTGTTCCCCTCCCCCCCTCCCCGAGATTTTGGAGACATCTTATATTTTTCTCCAATTAAGTATCAAAAATCTGGAGGTGTTGGTCAAGTAATAGAGTGCCAGATTTGATTCCAAAAGCTAAGACTCAGGTCCTGAGTTCAAGCTCTAGTACTGGCACACAAAAAAGTATGTCACTTACACATGTAATACCAGTAGTACTTTTCTCATAATCTATGGTACATAGATATTGCCAGGTGGAAAAGGTGAGATGGAATTTATTCTCCTTGAGGAATCACAAATTATTTTCTTCTTATTTACTTTTGTTTTGTGTAAGTAATTTCAAGTTATACCCAGGAAGTCAAATTATTAGAATGAATTCAAAACTTTGTGAAACAAGACACTATGCTGGAAATGAACTTTACAACTTTGTGGGGTTTGGGGGGATGGTGGAGGTTGGGGAGGGAAGGAATAGTAGGAGAAAACAAAGGAGTAAAGTAACAATGTTAGACTAGAAATGTACTCATTAGCTTTCTCATGTAACACCTCTGCACAGTATCTTTAAAACAAAATAAATTTTTAAAAAAATTTTATGAATCCAAATATTTGGAAGACTATTAATTTCAATAATGTAACTAATCTCCCATATATCCTCTACCTCAAGCAACTCAATAACCAGACATCTATGATGAGATTAAAAAAGCATTTCTACTCTCACCTATGAGTTGAATGTTAATAAGATGTAACCCCTAATCTTTAAAAATTAACCTTCACAATATAACCAGATCAGACTTCCTTGAGAATCAGAATTGTAAATGATGTGCAGTGCCCACTTGTACACAGATATAACATTAGGAAAGTCATAAAAGCTGAATGAATTATAAGATAAAACGTATTTTGTCCACTGTTCTGCGAGTCATTTAATACCACTAGGATAGCATTCTCCAACTGATAATGGTCTTATGATATTTATTGTATACTTATGTGTATAAGGCTTAAGAAACAATGTTGATTCTTTTTATTGCTCATAATAGTATTTTAATGGAAAACATTAGTTTGAATTATGAGCAATCTAATATGCATTTTGGAATATGTTGTTTTAACTGGCTGCTAATAATTTTGTAAAAGTTTACATCAACAGATGAAATATTTGAGAGTGTGTGTGACTTAAGGGATATTGCAGGCATTTGGTAAGGTTATTAAATATCAGGAAGCTTGGATATAATAAACATGTTATTGATGGAATAATTCACTTAAAGGAAGGAGCCAGTGTGCAAGTATAGAACGCATATACTCAGGTCTGAACTTGAATCCTACTTCATAGGATCTGTAGTTTATTTAACCTCTCTGAAGTAATCTATCAACAGGGGAAATAATTTTTACTTTGTAGCATTTTAAGAATCAATAAATAATATTAAATATCTAGCTTATAGCCATTACACTATTTACTTAAAGAGGGAATATCTCCAGTTTTACTGCTTCCAGGTCTCCTACTAGAACTGTACTACAGAAGCATACAAACCAGGCACTGGTGGTTCATCCCTGTAATCCTAGCTACTCAGGAGGTTGAGATCTGAAGATCAGAGTTCAAAGCCATCCCATACAGAAAAGTCTGTGAGACTTTAGTCTCAAATTGACCACAAAAAACTAGAAGGGGTACTGTAGCTCAAGTGCTGGCCGTGAGCAACATGGAGTTTAGGGACAGAGCCCAGGCCTAGAATTCTAGGCCCGGGCTCAGCAAAACAAACAATAAACAAACAAAAATAGAAACAGACAAAATGGTTTGTCTTCACTGACTACTTTGACACCAGCACCTGAGTCTCCTCAAAGCCTGGTGACTCTTTAGATGAAGATGATGTTGGATATTTGAGAAGACAGCAGAGCATTACGTTGATAAGCACATTTAATGCAGTGTGATCCGAGAGAGACCTATGTGCATTGAGACTTTATACAAATCCTTCACCAGTATGAAGGCTTTATAATTTGGTCACTGAAAGATAATACAAAGTCTACCCTGTGGAGTCCTCGGTTATAACACTGTCAGCCCTCTCTCATATCTCCTGACTCTCCTTGAAACAGAGCAATCAATCTTCCTGTTTTCAAACCAATGCTTCCCTATTATTATTTCACTGGCAATACCATCTGTTTGATTCACCATCCTTAATGTCATCCTTTTAAAGTATGTTTTTATCATCTTTAAATAGTTGCACAATAATGTCCCCATCTTTACAATTAGCTTTGTAGCCATTCCTCCAAGAAAATGTCACTTTAGTAAGTAATGTGTCTAAAGATTGACAATACTGTCCATTTTTCTACCCTTTATAACCATCTAAATATTTTTACTTCTGATTTTAGAGCAAAACAATATTTACCTCTCACTTCTACCCCTGGCTCATATTACAAGCATCTTCGTATTGCAAAGCAGGCAATTCACAAATTGGGTTGGTTATTCGAGGATTCTAATCACCCAGGAGATAGTAAAATGTTCTGTTTGTTGTAGTGTGCTGGAAACTAGCAATCGCTTAGTCTATTGAAAAGCATATAAATGTGTCACTAAAATAGGCCACCTAACCAGCAAATAATAATGGAGAAACCCCAATTTTTGCCTAGATTTCCTGAGCAGTTGACATAAATGCCACATGACAGATAGTTCAGAGAAAATTATTCTTCTCAAGATAACTTAGTCATCATCAGAATCACGAAAGTAAACAGGAGGCCAACCAAAAAACCCACAGAGGGGATGCATGTGGCTGGACTTGAAGTGATTATTGATCATGGGAATAGTCAGCTTAGTTATTACAAGAGACTTCCAAATATTTGAGAGTGTAAAACATTCCATTTCATTATGAAAGCCCAATCAATAATAACTATAGATTTCTCATTTGCTGGCAAAACCTTAAGCAGAGTGGGAAAATTTTAAATCTGGAACTAGAAGAAGCATTTAAATGTCATTTGTGTTACCCTTCTCTATAGAATAGAT